AGAGGGTGGCATAAAACGTGCAAGATGGCTATTTGATACAGTTTTTTATTCTCAAGGAATTTATCATCGTGCGCAAGTTCCAAGAATTACATAGATTCTTTCATCATCAAATTAGATCACCAACTAAGTACCTTGGTGGGCCATAGCCACTCGCTGCAGGAAGTGTGCACAAGACCTTGGCTCGTTAGAGGAGAGGTTTTTAGTGGCCACATGCAGAATACTTCTGCCTTTGTTTTCTCCTTTTAGAAAAGGCACTCTCCATTATGTGTGCCATGTACCCCTTACAAAAGCTAACACCAGGAAAACCATTTTCTCTCTTGGAGACTTGGTATAATTACTTCCCTAGAGAGTCAGAATTCTTTAATTCAGTAAGTTGGTCATGAGAGCTAACATCTCTAGGATTTAAAGAGTCCTTTCACTCTAAGCCAAGCATGTCAAATTTGCGGCCTGTTGTGCAGCCCACAACAAATATTTTTGCGGCCCAGCCAATATAACAGTATATAAGAAATGTTTTAATAAAAATTGTAACTTAATTTTTACAATATCCTGTTATACATAACTAGAAGTCGGTGCACTGGAGGGGAGTTGGAAGGGGAGGGTCCCTCAGCCCAGCCTGCACCCTCTCGCAGTCCGAGAGTTGGGGATATCCTACTGATGGCCTAAGCTGCTATCTGGCCTCCCTCTGCAGGAGGCAACTGGTCGGGCGACCAGGGGATGGTGCTGGCCCCTCCCATCACCCCTCTTGTGCCGCTGGTTGCTGCCCCTCCACCCCCATCGCCATTCCCTCCCTCTGGCCCCTGGCACACTCCTTGGCTGGCCTGGCGCCACCTGATTGCCAGCCCGTCCCCCTGTCTCCACCCCCCTCCCCCCTCCGCCTACTGGTCATTCTGCCGTTCAATTTGCATATTATACTTTTATTATATAGCATTATTAATAACAACAACGTTCCCTAATGACTGATTATTATAATTGTGCTGCATTCATTTCCCTTACACGCCTTATGCACAGGTGCACCATTACTCTCCACTAATACTAGCAGCAAATATTTTAGCAACCAAATGCCATGTTATTAGTCTTGGACTGACTTGTTTGGTGTGCACAAACAGGAAATATTTCATTTTTGGAGAACAAGAAAAATAGGTTTACTTGCATTATGCTTATTAATTTGTGCAGTTGTTCAGTGTCTGGTAAGTTAATGTTCAAGAAAAAAATATTTTTATTAAAATGTTATTTTATGTTAACGATTCCTCATTTATTTCAGCCCTTTATATTCAGCATTGTCCTTATTGAAATAAACCTACACGTTTCTATGAAAATTGAAGCTTTTGGGGTTGTTTTGCAGCCCACATAAACTTAAACTTGCTTATTTGGCCCATGTTAGCTTTGTGACATGCTTGCTCCAAGCTTACTTCTCACTGGAAGAATTTAGGATTGAAAACTAGAGAGAACAGTTTGAGAATGTCTGTAAAGGTACTCATTTGTCTGGAAGCAAGTGCCTGCACTCAGTCCGCTGTGCCTGGAGCGTAGGCAGAGGTAGTACCTCTGCAGTTCTGAGGTGTAAGGCACCAGTGTGGTTCTTGAGGGGCTATAACTGATCTTTCCCACTCCTCCGTCATTCCCAAATATTATGATAATGAAACAGTCTTCTCTCTAAGTGGTTAGTTAGAAAGTCTGTCATTGCTGACTGTCATCAGGTGTGTGCCAAGCTATTGTCTAGAGCAGAGGTCAGCAAACTGCGGCCCCTTGAGTGTGGCTCTTCCACGAAATACCACATGCGGGCGAGCACGTACAGTGCGATTGAAACTTTGCGGCCACACTCAAGGGGCCAAAGAGCCGCATGTGGCTCGCGAGCCGCAGTTTGCCAACCACTGGTCTAGAGTCATGCCATTTCAGTTTGCGAGCTTTCTCCCCCATAGACCCTTCACATAAAGCTGTGAACGCCAGCATTCATCCCTTCTGCAATAGGGAGTGAGCAAGAGGAAGAGCAGGCTACCAACTAGTCATGGGGGAGGTAGACCTTGCGAAGAATGGAAGGGTTTGGTTTGTCATTGAAGGAGACTTCAGCCTGAAGGGAAATCAAAACATACCTGATAGAATGCAACATTGAACCTAGGAAAGGAAGGTAAACATGTTACGTCAGCTTCCTGGTATGCAGCTGAGTGTGTCAGTGTGGAAAAATGAACATTTCAAACATGGTTGAGTTATCAGAGCATGTAAATTAATGCCAAGGAGCCTAGTTTGCATTGTTTTGTCTGAGTCTTAATTACTAATTACTTAACTACTTTCTATATATTGACGTTGTGAAACATAGGTTTTTAGTTCTGCCTCTTTGTTTTTGGTAAGCTAATTTGTTTTGTTTTAATTATGTGAAGCATAATTATAGAAAAATTCTAATGTTCTTCACTGACAGTAAATGCTATCATTAAATACACAGTTTTTGTCAGTGAGAGCCTATTCCATAGAGAGCTACCTCCTTTTTTATTTATAGTATATTGAGGTTGTTACGTTTTCTAAGATTTAGTGTCTGGTAATCATCAAACTAAATTTTAACAAATTGTGGTGATTTATAATCCATATATATTTTAATATCAGAGGTGCACATCATTTTTGCTGAAGTGCCATGGCTAAATATATTAAACTAGTTGATTCCCAAACTTTAATGTTTAGCTTCTTACCAATATAGGCAATTCAACTCTATTTCTGAAACATTACTTGTGTGATTCTGTCTGTTATCAGTGAAATAAGTCTTTGCCAGCGAATTGACCTTACAGATTTATGGAATCCCAAATCTCACAGGCTAGGCAAGGAAGTTTCCAGTGTCACAAAAAAATGGGAATGCCATCTGGTCACCCACTTATCAAGTACCTCAGAAGTACTCACTCTGTGCTGTTGTAGCTGCCGGAGACCTTGCGGTAGATAAGCAACGGGTGCACCCTAGCTGGTTGGCTCCGTGGATAGAGCATCGGCCTTTGCACTGGAGGGTCCCGGGCTCCATTCCAGTCAAGGGCACATGATCTCTATTCGGGGGCGTGCAGGAGGCAGCTGATCAGTGATTCTCTGTCATCATTGATGTTTCTGTCTCGCTCTCTCCCTTCTTCTCTGAAATCAATAAAAATATATTTTTTAAAAAAAAGAAAGAAAGAAACAGGTGCTGCCCTTCCGGAGCATGCATTGCTACAGGGGAAGAACCTGCAGACACACAATTGTGATACAGGTGATCTAAGCTACAGAGAAGCATGTGCAAGGCACAATGTTGGCCCAGATGTGGTCCGCGCCTTCTCAATGGCTTCGGTGATGCTTCTTTTGTCCTTCCTGTCAGTTGCCTGGGTTAGGCAAGGAGAGAGTTAGGAGAAAATTAGCTTGGCTTGAGCTAGAGAAGCAAGACCAAGGGTGCTCAAGGCCAGTTCCCTAAATTGGGGCTGAGGTTCTCTGAGCTCCGAGCTGAGACTTAATGTGGAAGAGGGTCACCTCTTCCTTCGTAATCCATTGAGCGATGCTTGTTCTCATTGACTGTGTTCATTCCTGCATTTTAAACTTCGTAAGCACAGGGGCTGCATCTGGTTTTATTTACCAAGAACTTTAAGAATCAAGTTTTGTGTTGGATACAGAGGCACTTAACGTGATACGAACTTACAGGTGGCTTAGCTGTAAGGCAGCAAAATCTCAGACATCTCTCATAGCAATAGTTTGCCAATATATTTTCTAGGACAAAGGAAACTAAGGAGGAAATAAACAAATGGGACTACATCAAAATAAAAAGCTTCTGCACAGCAAAAGAAACCATCAACAAAATAACAAGAGAGCCCACTGCATGGGAGAACATACTTGCCAATGATACATCCAATAAGGGGTTACCCTCCAAAATTTACAGGGAACTCATACAACTTAACAAAAAAAGACAAAAATCCAATCAAAAACTGGGCAAAGGACCTAAATAGACAATTCTCCAAAATGGACATACAGAAAGCCAAGAAACATGAATACATGCTCTAAGTCATTAATCAGCCTAGAGATGCAAATCAAAATGACAATGAGGTACCACCTCATACCTGTCAGAATGGCTACCATCAACAAATCAACAAGTGCTGGCAAGGATGTGTTATAGGCTGCTGGTGGGAATGCAGACTAGTGCAGCCACTGTGGAAAACAGTATAGAGTTTCCTCAAAAAATTAATGTGACACGGCACCAGAGTTAAGTTAGGGTTTTTCAAAATGCTGTCACGCCAAGCTCAAAGGTTCGCCATCACTGATCTACACAGTGGAATACTGTGCAGCTGTAAAAAAGAAAGAACACTTGCCATTTGCAACAGCATGGAGGGACCTGGGGAGTTTTATGCTAAGTGAAATAAGCCAGTCAGAGAAAGACAAGTATCACATGATCTCACTCATATGTGGAATCTAGTGAACAGAATAGATCAAGAGACATAGAAGCATGGAACAGACTGTCGAATTTCAGAGAGAAGGCAGGGGAGGGTGGGTGAGTGGAAGGAGATCAACCAAAGAACTTGTATGCATTATGCATTATGCATAACCCATGGACACAGACAATATGGTGGTGAAGGCCTGGGGTGAGAGGTGGGGCTGGGCTAGAGGAGGTCAGTGGGGGAGTAAAAGGAACATATGTAATACTTTCAACAATAAAGATTTTTTAAAAATATATAACAAATGCTTTCTAATTTAAAAACTTACAGATAGGAGTTGAGTTTTTGCTAAATCTATACAGAAATACAAGTCATTCTGAGGGTCAAAATTTCGTTAATATATGTTAAATGGTAAGCTGTTTTTATACTTAAATCTGTTGCCGTCCCGTCATTCATATGTTAAAAGTGAAATGCCACTGGAGTTTATTGCGGTTGATACTAGGAACTTGAGTTCATTAACAGTCACGCTTAGTCTTTGGCTTTCAGATCGATTTAATAATGCATAGATTTGAAGTAAAAAAAATAGTTTCAGTATTTGACAAAGTGTATGAGCTCCTTTTATTGACCTTTCTGAACTAGATGCTTTCTGATGCAGCACCGGGGAAACTGAGGATTGTCCATGGAGATGTGTTGACATTTAAGGTCGAAAGGGCTTTTCCAGAAAGTCTTAAACGACAGTGGGAGGATGGTAAGTGACTTTGGATTGTTTTTCTTTTTGTTGTTCTTGTTGTTACTTATGGTAGAAATACTTACATTATTATTATATATTACAAATGTTATTATATACTTATATTAAAAATTATCCAAACACAATTAATAGGTGATATGTATTATAATTTATTCTGCTTTTCTACTTTCTTCCAAAATATAAAATCTATTACTTTCTTAATTCTTATTTATTTGTCCCATTTTTCAGATGTTTTGGGTTCTATTTAAATAAACTTGCCATATTTGTGATAGCACATGAGATGGACTATAAGGTGTTACTTTTTCCAAATGGTAAAAAAGAAAGGGTTTCAGTGAACCCAGCCTTTCTTTTACCTTCGTTCCTATTGTGTTCAGCCTCAGTGACCAACCAAGGCACTCCTCATTCACGGCACTGTTTATTGAGAACCTCTGTGTTCCAGCGCTTCTGTTTTTTGCCTTTAAAACCCCGTAGAACACAGGAAGGGTCGATTTTGGTGTCCCCCTCCCCCCCATCTAGCTGCCACCATGTGTCTGGCCTCCGCGGCCAGGCTCCTGCAGTAATTGGTGCTGGCCCTCTCCACCTTCCGACGCCCCCTGCTCTTCTCAGCACCTGCCTGCACCTGCCCCACCGCAGCGACCTCCCCAGTGTCCCCCGCCTGTGACAGTTCTCCTGGTTCCTCTGTTACTGACTCTCTTCTGGAAGGTGGCTGCTCCTGCCTTCCCTGAAGCCATGCCCTCTGATTCTCCTTTGCATTACTGTGAGCTGTCTCTACCTCCTTTGCTGATGGTTATTTTTTCTCCCTCCTCTCACCTCTTTCTGAGCTCTTTCTCCTCGGGCGTCTCCTGCTACAGATCCGTCCGGATGACTCCTCCCTGGAGGCCACCTGCATGTCGCAGGCACTTGCAGGCTGTGTCTGCTTCCCGGCACCCGACCCTCCGCAGGTTCCTCGGGCCCACAGGCACCTTGACCTCTTCATGTCCAAAGCAGATTCTTTTTCCTCACAGCAGTTCTTATTGCATCTTTTTCTGAAGCCAAAAATCTGAGGACTTTCACTGACTGACTGAATGCGAATTAGGTAGAATTTTTTTCCTTAATAATTCAAAGCTGACTGTGGGGGCAAAAAACAAAAAAACAAACAAAAAAACCATGGCTTTTGAAGAATAAATGGTGTGGAATATACTCAACCATAATTTTTCATATATTTTTATTTGATGCTATTACTATTTAGTTTGACTTTTATGCTTAATTAAAATTATATTCAAACTATATTGATGAAATCATTTCAAGTTGGTTTTTCTCCTGCCAACCAGATCCTCCAAATGTACATATTATTGGAAATCTGCCTTTTAATGTGTCAACTCCACTCATAATCAAGTGGCTTGAAAATGTTTCTCAGAGAGAGGGGCCTTTTGCTTACGGCAGAACCCAGATGACGTTGACTTTCCAAAAGGAAGTGGCGGAGGTAAGTTTTAATTTTTTTCTGGCTATTTTACCATGTGATCAAATTCCGAGACAAAATAGTTCTGCATTTGTATGTCAGACTGTGTTTTCTAAAGCTGATACTCCATTACACACACACACACACACAGAAAAACCCTACAACAGCGCAACCAAAAGTTAAGCATGTGGTGGCGGCGGAAGGTGTCACTGCTGTCAGCTCTCCGTGCAGAGTAGGAATGACATGCTGCCTGCTGAGAAGGCGGTGTGGTGAGTACAGGAAACAGCCCCCGCTCAGCTAAAGAAAGGCGGAACCTGTGCGATGCGGTGATGCACTAACACATAGGGGTTGGCATGTGACGTGTTATCACTGATTTGTTGACCTGAATAGGATGACAGCTGAAGAAGGTTATAATCAACATGGAGCTGAGAAAGGGAAGAGGGTCGGTGGCTCACTATTTAGTATGTAGACTTTCACTTAACCCCCCACCTTGGCCATGCCTGCATGCCCACAGCAGTTGTGTTCCAAGTTCACCCTCTAGAAAGTAAACCTTTCTAGAGGGGATATGCAGACTGTCCATATTTTTAAAAAACTGTCTTCTGACATATAAATACAAAAGAGTATTTCATGTATATGTATGGCTTAACAAAAAGAACACCTGAGTCCCCATCGCCCAAGTCAGCTTAGTAATGAAGTTGCCAACATCTTTGACACTCTCTTCGATGCCTCATTCTGACTTTACCTCCTGTCTTTCAACTACTGCAAAGGTAGTCAATACTGTGGATTTGGGACTTATTATTCTCTGCAAGTTTATCCCATGTATCCTCTTTACCCTGATTCATTCATATTACTGTTATATAGTATCTACACTAATAAAAGAGAAACATGCAAATTGGTGCCACTCTGCTACGCCCACCAGCCAATCAGATGAGTATGCAAATTAACCCAACAAAGATGGTGGTTAATTTGCATGTGCAGGCATGGAGCGAAGACAGAAGGCTCCAGCCAGACTGAAGACTGAAGAGACTTGGCTTCTCCACTGTGGCCGCACCAAAGGCCTGGGTCCTGGGTGCCAGAGGAAACCCGGTGCCGGCAGCCGGGGGAAGGAAGGCCTATTGCACGAATCTTCATGCAACGGGCTTTTAGTATTATATATACTACTACGACTGTGTCGTAATTTACCTGTCCATTCTCCTGTTTGGAGACCCTGTATAGTTTCAGTATTTTGTTATTACGAGCAAAACTGTCATGAACATCCCTATATATATATGTCAGGCAGAGCACATAGCACATAGAAATGCTGGATTGGAAGGTCTGCAAATTCTCATTCTTGCTAGATAATGCTAAGTTGTTCTCAAAAGTCACTGAGCCTATTTGTATTCCCACTGGTTCATTTGCTCTATATCCTTGCCAGTACATGCTTTTGCCTAATTTGAACTTTTTTGGTTATTCTGGGGGAATGGTGTGTCATTGTGGTTTATTCTGTCTTTGCTGGTTTTTAATGATTTTTACATGTTTATTGGCCTTCTGGGTGAGCTCTTTTTTGTGAAGTACATGCCTTTTACTGAGTTTTCTGTCGGGTTGCTTGTCTTTTTCTCATTGATTTGGAGGAGTTCTAACATATTCCCCTTACTAGTGCTTTATTAGTTAAATATGTTGCAGATCTCCTTCACTGTGGCATGTTATTTTCTTTTTACAGTGTCTTGAAGGACTGACATTCATAACTTTAAGTTTATGGTTAGTGCTGTTTGTGTCTTGTTGAAGAAATTTTATAGCCTGAAGTCATGAAGATATTTGCCTTGTTATCTTCTAGAAGCTTTGGGGTTGATGGTTGTGGATGGTTGAAATAGAAAGTAATTTTAGTTCTGTTATCCTATGAGCCCAGTGAACCTAGCACCGTTTACTGAAAAGTCTGCCCTCACTGACCTTTAACCTGTGGCATAATGACAGAAGCCTGTGTAGGCACTGGTCTGATTGGAGCCACAGAAGAAAGGTGGTGTGAAATCTAGGGATGGAAGGTCCAATACTAGAGAGGAGGGAATCTTCAGTCCACATCACAGCAGATCAGAAATTTCATAAAGTATCTATCATGTTTGCATATAATGAACATTGGGGAGACTTTAGTATTGAATTAGTGATGAATAAACAAGACACTAAATACAGTAGAGATTGAAGCAAATAAAATATATCATTATTGAAAAGAGAAGTAAAAAATATTTAGAAATATATTGTTGTTTATATAACATCTCAAAACGTAGTTAAGTTCCAGGGATCACGTGGAGAAATTGACCTGTAAGAATGGGTAAGACATTTTGGAAAAGAAGAGTGCTGAGAGACTTGCCTATGGAGTGTCACAATGTCTGTGAGACTCTGATAATCATAATAATCAAAGCACCAGCATGAGACAGACCAAGGTGAGGTTAGAGGGCCCAGAATCAGGCAGCTCAGTATAGGATAACAATCAGATTATACATCAGCAGAGAGAGACATAATTTAGCAAATGAATGTGTATTTGGTTAACTCTTAGGAAAAATATTAGTAATTTGCCATATGTAAAAAATTAATTCCAATTGCTGTGCCTTCAAATTCACCACACATCAGCCATTAATCTGAGGCTCAGTCCCACTTCTAAGTCAGGACCTTTCTGAGAAATCTGCCCAGTGCCCTTCAGATTCAAGGCCTCTCCACTTAAGCTGTTGGGGATGCAAACTATTTCCAGTGCTTTGTGAATTCCTTTAGTCCTGCTTTCCGATGGTGTTTTCTCCAGCCTCCCACCTTGAGGAGTTAGTTACCCTCAAGCTCTCACAGATCTGTGCTCAGCCTAAGACTTGAAGAGCATTATCTCAGGAGCTCTCCCTCACTTCCTTCCTCTCTCTCTCCCAGTTCTCCACCCTGTGTGTGTTCCCGGACCTCCAGCCTCTGTCTGCTCATGTCACGGAGATCTCTGGGCTCTGTGTGTTCCTCCTCCCCGTGCTGCAGCCCGAGAATGGCCGAGACTGAGAGACTTTGCCTTAGAGTATTTGGCCATAATTTAAGAAATGCTTTAGAAGTATGGGAAACGCTGGTCCTCTGACTGATTTTGACATTTTGCAAGTCAGAGTTTCAGTGGGAGAATATAATAGCATCATTTTCTTATATGCCCTCTCTTTGCTCTTGACAAATTTGTATTTTGAAAATTTGTATTTTACCCCAGAAAGCACTTTTAAACATTTGCTTGGCTTGACTTGGTGAGTTACAAAACAAATGAGCATGTCCTCTTCTTTCTCTTTAAGACTGCAAGGTCTGAATGTATGAATTCAGCCCACACACATTAAGGGACATTTAGACACTATAAAACACAGCTCGTAAAATAGAATCAGACTCTGTAGCAATAGATGATACCTTTACAAATCTCACCTAACCTCGTTTTATAGATGATGAAACCGAAGCTCCAAGCCATTTAATGTTTTCCGAAAGGT